CCCCCCCAATCCCCTATATACCGTCACAGAGCTCAGGTCCAACTCCCTGTGGTGGCAAGCGGGGACCGCCCGAATCTCTGAATCGATTTGAAGGCTTCCAAATTGATTCAGAAGCTTCTGATTCAATTCAGACCTTTTAATGGGTCTCCCAATTCAATTCAGAGCCTAATCTCCTCCGAATCAAATTGGCTACTGAAGCTTTGTACAGCCCCATGAGCCAGCTCTTTAGTTATATCCCACTGGACTATCTGAAAAATCAAAATCATTCATCCAATGGACTAGAACTCATTATTGCTAACTCTTAGCTTTCTATTGTCTACTTTCTGTGCTTAAATTATAAAGTACCAATGACTCCATACATATAAATGAATATATTACATCAGCACCTGTTCAGTTTTCCCTGTGAAAATAAACATTGAACAGCTATTTTAGTATGCAAATTGGAAAATGTTCTATGTTGTGCAAATTATAAAATATTTATTTAATATTAAAATGGCATAAGTAATCACTCATAAGATCTGTGTAAGCTATATGCAATCTTTGCACTATAACGTTTCTTTGTTAAAAATAATACTATTCAAATGATGCTTGACAGGTCTCAAGATTCCTTATAAATATTTTAGGCATCTTATTATTTACTAATTTTATGTTATACCTTGAGATGGTTGGAAAAATATCTCTGTTTCCTTTCCTTCCCCATCTTCCTTATGTGGCTTGTATCCCAAAATGAAATCTTCTTGAAAGACATGAAGTAACTGTGTGTTTGAGCCACACTGGAAACAATGAACAATAGTTACAATATTAGAAGCATCATGCACAGCAACATTAAATACATGTCTGATTCTTTCTATTAGGATAGGAAGAAAGGATTGCTCACTGTCCCCGTTCATTTTTAATTTTTTTTTTTGTATTTAATAGACATAGAAAAATGGACTGCTACCTTTCTGTCTTTAAGCTAGCCTATTCTAGAAGCTTCTAAAGTTGGTATCTTCAAATGGCCTTGGTGAGCTCTCTACTATGCTATCCCTGTTCTCTAACAAAGCATATTTATAGCAACTATTAACAGGCAAATTAGGAATAGGAGAATACGCCTTCAGGCTGCCACAAATATTTAAAAGGTGCCAAATGAGTTCAGCTTGCCTTGCCTTAAGAAAAGTTGAATGTCTAGCCCTTTTCCATATATCTGCTGAATGTCTGCTAAGGAGGCCTGCTAAAAACAGGCTGAAATGCCCAACTTTCAGAAACCCTTAACAGATGCATTCTCTACATAGCAATAGATTCTTCTGCAATAAGACCCACCCACCCAGCATGGGGGTGGTCATTGGCAATGAAATCCTTCTACATAGACAAGCAACGCGTGGCTCAGAGAAAGATGGCAAAATATTCACATGCCTGCCTATCCCACCCCGTTCTTCCAGGAGGAACGTGCAGTAGCATTTTCTGCTATGGAGATTTTCTTAAATTCAGCCAGGATGAAATCAGCCAATGCCAAGCGACTCATGAAAGAGCATAAGCAGCAAGGGATGCATGATTTCATGAGCACCATTACAAATACAGAGAGACATAATTGTACATAGAAGACTGGAAGAATCTTTAATCATTGTAATATGTAACATGAGAGTGAGTCAAAGACTCATTATTCCTCAGCCTCTTACAATTCCTTCAGTTTCTCCAAATACTCTGATATGTAATATTCTTCAATATCATACATATTAAAATATTCCCACATTTAAATTTCTGCAAATATTTTTAAAGCTGTACAAGTCCCCTTTGCTGTAGATAAAATGAGGTCTATATTGGACCTGTAAATCTTCTTATCCTGACTGAGCTGCCCCAGGTCCTGTGAAACTGTAGAAGCTATGAAAGTACACAACAGGTTTCAAGACATGGGCCTTTGCTACCAAGGCAAAGGTAAAGCCATACTAAAGGTTAAGCCTTCTACTCTGATTTCTACACTTTTTGAATATTTGGGTTTATTCTGAGTAATTCCATTTCTTTTTTCTTTTGACTGCTACAATTATCTAGTAAATTATTCTCTACCTAATTTATTTTTAACTGAAAATTATGCCTGGGGAACAGTACTTCATAAGACTGTAGCCTAGGTCTTTAAATCTTCCATTAGCAAAAAATAGCTGTACAACTAAAGTGTTCAAAATATTTTATTTTTAAACTCACAAGCATTCATTTATGGGGAAAAGTAATTAGTCTGAACTAATTCACTGAAAGATTTACAGCATCTCAGAGAAACAGCTGATTTGAATATTTTATTTCCTTAATTACTGGGGGTGGGGGTGGGGAGGAGAGGGTAATAATTTGACCCCTGCAATGGGAACATCAGCTCTGCAAGTATGGTAGTTCACTGGGTGCAATTCTCAGAAGATTTTGGACTTGTAGTAAAATACTTCTCAATTTTTATGGCAGTTAAGGAAATTTCAAGTGTTCAAATATTTCTAAAAAATTAAGTTAGGTTGAGATATTTCTCTGATTTTAAGTTTAAGCTTTCTTAGTTCTCTATAAGCAATATGCATGGAAACACCATGTATTATAAACTTTCCTTGGAAATATAGCATCTTCATGTTAGCAAGTTAAAAGTAAAATGAGTTCTTTGAAGATAATTTAATCATATGTTACCAGAAATCCAAGTGGTTCTCAAGGGGCTCACTATGATTGAACAGAAATGTCCGTTCCTTTACCTATTAATTACTATTTCTTTTCAGTAGATTAATTATCAGACAAAACCATAAAAAAAACTTATCTACTGCCCCTTAATGGTTAATGAGGTATTTACTTGGTTAGTTATTGCATCAAGTTCAATAATGCATCCTGGTCGGGCAGTAGACTGTTGGCTCACAATGTTAAATACTTCTCCAATCAGTTTCTGAAAGATAGCAAAAATAAATTAAATGATCAGGACATTATTTATTCAAACAGCAGCAGTTATAACTAGCTGAAAATACTTTTGTTGCCAGCCTTGGCCATTTGCAAGGGGACTAGAGCAAACTTCAGAAGTATGGCTAAGCAGAAGGCACCAAAGCCTGTTTCTGAGTGACCACAGCATGAACCTTTGCAGATGTGACAAGTAGCTTAGTCAGCAAAGTAAAAGAAGCCATGTATATGTCTAACTAAACCAGTAATGAGCTACAATTAAACAAAGCATAAGGCTTGAAAGGAGACATAAGGGAAGACCATATATTAAATAATCCAAATACACCATATCATAACTTTTATCCTAAAATAGTAGTAACAATTGATGTAACCAGATGTATTAGATATTATTTTGCTATAATACTAGGGCAGCACCAATATATATGTTGGCTATTGGATCAGCACCGATGAAAGGAGAAATGATGTTATTGGTTATTGGCTTTTTTAGCTTATTGTAGCTGGTAATTAGGGCCATGTGCCTGGAGCACCTTGGTGAACGTAAATCTGGTCTAGAGGTACACCAATACATCGGTCCAATATTGGGGCTGATAATTTGGCTGATAAATGCCTGTGTGAGCATCATAACTGGCAGCATGGAGAGCTGCCTCTAGCTGGCAAGTCTGGTGTGGTGGAAGATAAGTAGGGAAATAAGGGGCATGGGGGGGCAGGTTAGCACCCCCCGTTGTTGAGGGAGGGGGCAGAGGCAGGCACTGCCCGGGCCAAGGTTCGTGGGGGGGACAGCTCCTGCTGCTGCTTGCACCCCAGGAGGGCACAGGGGGAAGGAACACGTCCCCCCAGATCTGGGTGGGGTGGGACGGGTTGCAGCCAGGGCTGTGTGGAGTTCTTTTCAGCAGGGGCTGGGTATGGAGCGGGCACATGAAGGATGCTGCATCCACCCCAAATTTTATCTGCTGCTCTGCTCCTAGTGCCACTGCCGCCAGCCGCAGCCCCAGCTCAATGCCCTCCCGGGGTGCAAGCAGTGGTGGGAGCCGCCTCCCCACCACGAGCCACGGCTCCAGCCCCCCACTTCTCCTGCTCCCTCCCTCACTGCGGGGGACATTGATTTGCCCTCCCTATGCCCCTTCCCTCCACCCTCCCTTTCCATACCAGACTTACCAGCCGGAGGCAGCTGTATTGGAAATCGGATCGGTATTGGCTGATCTGCTTGCTTAAATATTGGCTATCGGCATCGTCTCCAAAAATCTCTATCAGTGCACCCCTATCTGGTCTGAGCCCCCACTATTGGTCACAGCAAGAAGCAGGAGGGAATAGGGGGAGCCGGGGAGCAGTCATAGGGTACCAAGCTCAGCAACAAAAGGCTCATTATTGGCTCCTGCTGCTGCTGCCATGGCAATGCCACGCATACACCAGAGGCCTGAGCACTGGGGCTGCCATGGAGGCATTGGGGTGAGCATGGGCGGGGTAAGACACTGCACAAGGGACATCTGCTCTACCACGCACCAGGTGCCTTTGCAAAAGCAGCTTCTTCCCAGCAGCCACATGAGTTTGACTGCATGGGGCCTGCTGGTGCTGAGGCAGAGGCACGTTCTGGGGCTTCAAACATACCCAGCACTCCTGTCTGTGCAAGGTTCTACCTGCCCGCTCAGGATGACAGCACGGGCTGTGTAGGAGCAGGGCTGTGGGTAGGAGCTGTGGGCAAGGGGGTGATGTGCATGGGAATAGGGTGGTCACCACCTTCCTCATCAAGGGCCAGAGTAGGCAGGAGGTATGTATGTGTTATGATTGCAAAACAAACAAAAAAAGGCTTTATGTCAGTAGTTTAAAATGCCTTGCACTATTACTAAATATTGGTTATTGGATCGGCATTGGCCGATATGGTTGGTTAACCATTGGCTATCAGTATTGGCCAAGAAAATTTTTATCAATGCACCCATGTATAATACATATTTTTCTTAAGATGCTTAGAAAGGATAAAAGAAACCCTCCCTTTTACTTTCTCAAATATATAAATCCCAAATAATTGATTCACTGAAAGATTGTTACAGCAGAGATTGTTCTCAGAGAAACACCTGCTTTGGGCATTTTCTTTCCTTAAAAGAAAAGAGGGGGGAGAGGGGGTAATAATTTGACTCCCAGTGGGAACATTAGCTCTGCAAGTATGCTAGTTAACTGGGTATAAATCCCAACTAATCTATACCTTTGAAGTCCTCAAGAGATCTGGTTCAGTCCAGTTGCAAAAGTTTCAGTGAAACAAAGCCATTTATTAAAATATTAGAACCAGCCATCTATACATATTGGGTATAAGCTGGAGAGAAATTTGGAGAACTCAGCAAATTCAGGAAGATTTACTGCCAATCTTCATGCTACCTTCTTTCTATGTCTCCTCAGCAGGTGTAAGTGAGAATCTATGTTGTCCTGTCTTGGGTAGGTAAGTAGACTTTGGGATAAATGTGTGTTTTTATGTTTTAAAGTGCAAGCAAATAAAAGGTTGGGCTGTTGACCTGTTTCTTTCTCTTATCAGTAGTTTACCCACAAGGTTACCTGTAATCTGGGTAACACGATTACATACTGTAGTTTGACAAGTTCCTTGTTGGCATACAGAGTTATATTTTTCTTTCTGTTCATATTGAAGTTTAAGAATACTGAAATATTTGTCATTTTTGTTGTTTTGAGTCTACATCTAGTTGCAAGCAAAAGCACTTCATAGCACATAGATTTTTATAGACACTGCATGTTGGTTTTTTAAAGGTCTCTCCTTTCATAATGCATGCTTGATGATGAGTCATGATTTTCTGTACATTGGGAAATTCCAATCTACTGCTCACTCTTCCTTAATGCTTCAACTCTTGTCACTGCACTTTAAAATGGGGGAATACTGTGTCTGGTAAGAATGTATGTTGGGAAAAGACTAATTCATCTTTAATATTTAAGCCCTAAATCTATATTAGCACATCTATTTAAAGAATGGAGCTGCTGTTTGTAAGTCTCTTTTGCTTCTGACATGGGAGTTCTATTTGAAGGAGATTCAATATAATGCTGTCTTTTCTCCAGTATTAAATACTAAGAATGTGTCCATATTCTTTTCTGTCAGAAGTTGTAACAAATAAAGAGAATAAAAAAATAAAGAAAATAAAAAGTGCTAATGGGGAGCAGGACCCAAGGAAAGACCAGGATGACTGGAGCCAACAGAAAGACAGGATGAGGTAAGGAGCTAACAGAAGGAATATGAGATAATCTTAATCCTTAGCAATCCCTTACCCAGCAGCTCCATCAACTCCCCCCAGAGATTCCCTTGATTAACTCTAAGATCTCCCCATTCTACTAGCTTTTTAAGATGCTTTTACTCTTCTTCTTGGGGGGGAAAAAAAAAAAAAAAAAGAGGGTTTACCTCTTCAAGCACATCTGGTATTACCACTTGGGGAATCCTTGGGGGAACTCTAGTTGCTATTGAATCCCCGCATACTAGTATTAAAGCCAGAATTTTTTCAGAATTGATGGGTATGGGTGTGCTTATTAAAATTAATGCAAATAGTTAAATGTGTTTAAAATACCATACATATAACTGCACAAAAAACTTGTGTGTAAAATGAAATGAAAATATCAGAATGAGAGCTAGATTTGCTTTTCTCATATATAAACTTACTGAGGATTCAGGGTCAGACAGTTCATCTAGAAGTTTTCGTGCATCCACTACAGCTTGATAGAGCCTCAGGTTTTTGCCATCTGATGCTACAAAACAAGCACTAGCAGAATTGCAGTATGTACCTGATTCAAAACACCAAACACAAGTTTTAGAATTAAAGCAGATTATGACAATATTTTGTTGAAACAGTATTAAATAACCAATTACAATCCATTTCACTGCATAATAATAATAATATTTTTAAAGTAACAGACTTAAAATAATAAAATAATTATTTAATAGCAGGAAGAAGTAAACAGTTAAAACACGGTGATAAAGTTTTGAATCTGAAATAACCTCATTTCCTATTTTATTTTGATGATTAATTTATTTATATATATAGTTCAACAAAATGAGCAGAACTAGTAATTAAAAGCATATTGCTTTAGATAAGTCCCTTGTCATGTGTAAAGATGAATAGTTATTTCTTGGAACTTCAACAATATAATGAAACAAGAAAACAAATAAATATGACCTCCTATTGTTAGAAGATATAAAGGAGAAAGGACAACATTATACATGGTATACAAACTTATCAAATGACCATCAATGAAAAACGAGATAAATGCTTACACTTTGTGCCTTCATGTAATCTATAAAATAGGTCTGATGCCAGGGGTTTATTAAGTTAAAAAAAAATTCTGCTTTACTTTTTATGTTAGGCCTAATTTGGCACCTATATATGTGCCTGATGCATTCTCATTAGAACAGGTAGCAGCAGACTTGATTAATCGAGACTGCTGCAGCATTCTAATTAGAAGGCTCCAGCAGCCCTGGCATCATGTATATTCAGTGTCCCCATGTTTCAGAATGGTGGCAGGGGCACTTTTAACAAAAGCTCATCAAATGAGCTTTAAAGTGTCCATTTTGAAGTGCGGGACACTGAATACGAGATGTTTCAGACATTTTAACTACAGCAACTCCAGAGAGCTGCTCTAAATAACTCCGCCCCCTCCCTGCACATATAAAGACACCCATTAAGTCATGACTTAATTATAGTGGCATAGAAATTGGAATTTGGAGAGAAATTTTAGTATGTTTTTGAAATTCTGAGATTTTTTAAAAATCTACTTATCTCAAACTCTTGAAAAAACTGAGTCCTCCTGAAAAAATGAGGACCCACTATTAATATATCAAAGGCAGAAGTGTCAAAGATTCAGCCCACAGGCCAGAACCAGCCCTATCATTCGGCACATGACCCATATGCCAGTCTGCAAGCTTTTTACTAAGTGGATCCTCTTTTCTTTTTTTACTAACATTTTTTTATTGATATGTTGTACATAAAATAATAATAACCCCCTCTGCCAGGCCCTGGATGACAGTAAGAAAGGGCTGGGTTCAAATTTAGGGATTTAATACCAACTTTTAAAATCTAGCTCCTAGCCCCACAGCTTCATCTTGCCCCACTGTCCCCTTTCCCATGATGCCCAGTGCCTCAAAGAGCCCAGAGCCACACAGTCCTGCCTATCTTTGAGGTGAGGCTGACAGGACACAACAGCAGGTGGCTGCTGCAGGTGGCGGCTTGCAGGGCATCAAGCTATACTACAGATCAGACACAAGGAGTGCAGACAGAAGTGCAGCTTCCAGCTGTAACTCAGAACATTTTCTGCAAAGCAGCTTGAGTTATGTTACCCCAGACCAAACAGAAGTTCACTCTTGGTTCCAGGGGGGAGGAGAATCTAGCTGTGGGCTGGAAGCCTGCAGCCAGGTTCCCATAGCAATGTCCATGGCTCTCTGCCAGTGCTCGCTGTCTTCATAATGGGATGGGGGAAAGGCAGGACGCAGGACTGAGTCATAGCTTGCTGAGGGGGTGGCTCCCGCAACCACTTGTGGCCTGGTGAGTGGGCTGGCTGGAGTCGGGGCTGTGCTGGGCTCTTCTCAGTGGGAGCTGAACTCAGGACAGGTGGCAGCTGGGCAGAGGGCTACAGAGGGGGTTGCAGCCACCCCAAATTCTGCGATAGCCTCTCCATAGCCCCCCCCCCCCCCCCCCCCACCGCGCCGCCCCCCCCCCCCCCCATCCCCAGGCTGCTGCCACCCGCCTGGCACGTGGATGGAAGCAAGGCGTTGAGCTGGGGCTGCACTGGGCGGGCAGTGGCAGCACTAGGAGGAGGCTATGGGGAGGATATGGCACTATTTGGGGTGGCTGCAGCTCCCTCCATAGGCCCCCTCCCAGCACCACCACCTCCCACCCCGAGCCCAGCTGCTACTGAGAGGAGCCCGGGACAGCCATGGCTCCAACCTGCAGCTTCAGTCCACCCACCTTGCTCCACACATTTCTGGGGGTACACGCTCACCCCATGCCCTCCCGGGGTGCATGCAGTTGTGGGAGCCACTCTCCCTGTGGACAAGTTGTGGCTCTGTCCCACGCCTTGCCTTGCCTTGCCCCATCCTGGCTGGACAGCGTCTGCCCCTACCTCGTTCCTTCTTCCTTCACCGTGGCAGGGGGGCATTGATTGCTCCCCCCCACGCCCATTTTCTCCCCCCTCTTTCACCACAACAGACCATGTTGCCAGGCTGTGCTCCTCGCTGCCTATGTGCTGCGCTGTGGCTGTGCACATGCATGGGCATTTATTGGCCAAATAATTGGCCACATTGGGCCGATTTATGAGACAGCCAATTTATAATCGGTACCGATCTGATGTCGGACCGATGTATCAGTGCACCTCCACTTCAAACATCTTCATCTGATACCTCGTGCAATGAGGGGTTGGATTTTCACTTGTTTGGCCATTTTTTAAGATGTCTGCAGCTGTGCAGCAGTGCTTGGTCACAGCTATAACTGCTTTCTGTTGCCAGATTGGGTGAAAATTGTCGTTCCTGTCTGCACCCAAGGTGATATTGCTCTGCTTTGCCACTCAATCAACATTTGCCTCATTCCAACAATAGGTCTTCAACCAAGCTTATGCTTCCTTAGGTTTTTTTTTTTATGGATAAACCCTCCTCCACCCCACACCTTTTTTTTTAAACAGACTTCAGACTTTATGGACCAGCATTTTGAACCTCTTTTTTTTTTTTTTTAAACTCTTCATAAATTTATGGATGGTCGTCAACCCTGGTCCACATGTCACATGCAGTGCCCACTGGCCCCTGTCCTGGCCCTGCATGCTGCACACAGGTCCAATCTCAGGATGTGTATTGCACATAGAATGCAGGGCCAGCCCAGGATATGTGCTGCATGTGGTATACAGGGTCAGTCTGTAGGCTTGAAGACTGGCCCTAAGCCACTCATCCAGCCTACAGAATCAGGTGAGTTTGATACACCTGATCTATAGTAAAGAATGTGTTGAAAATTGAACTGTTTTTTTTTGGAGGGGAAGACAGAAACCTACAACATAAAAATACTACAAAATGGTGAAGATTTTATTGGTATTTTCAAGTCATTTTTACAGTCTTGAAAACTGAGAAAAGAGAGGAAGAGAGAATCTTAGACCCCAGAAGACCAAATATCACTTAAACAAGAGTACTCCTTTACATTTTAGTGATGGCAGTATTACATGCAGTGGCTGAATTTATCTTTAATTAACACCTTAGTTCAGCAGTTAAAAGCTTACTTTGAACATTCTTTTTAGAAGGTAGCACAGTATATTACTGAAGTTGATTGATCTAATGCTTATCCTATTCTCTGCCCCCACAAAAATCTTGTGGTTTCAGCATTAAAAAGTCATGGGCTGCTTAAAGACATTAAACAAACTCTCCTCCCCCCAAAAAAGAAGCAGCAAATTAATTGGACCTGGTTCTGCAGAGTCTGTGTAGATTGGGCACTTCAGTAGGGCTTTTTGGAGGGTATAGCTAAAGCTGATTCAATCAGCTATTAGATAAAAGTGCAAGAAGTGCCCCACTAAAGCGCCCGATCTATATAGAAGTTGGCCTAGCCAGGTCCAACTAACACAATGCCTCTTCTGGGCATGTGCTGGGCTTGGCATTTTTGTTTTTTGTTTAACACCTGTAAGCACACTATGTCTATTTATTAAAATCACACAGCTTTACGAGCAGGCTTCTATAAAGGATAGGCTACCAGAAGGACTTCCATAATGTATGAGAGGTTCCAAATGGAAGATACCAACATAGAAATGGAAGAGTGCAGCTGATTTAAGCCTCAGGTTTAAAATATTATTTATATATTAGGAAAATGATTAAGATATACTGGATTTCTAGTATATATACTAAATCAATTTTGGAACTACATTCTTATTGCATTGCTTATTATGTAAAAAAACAAAAAAAGGTTAATTGCTGAACAAACCAGATTCTAATTCTTTCATGAATTTATCCTACTTAAAGCAAGAGCTTGTGAGAATTATTTCACAGTAAAAGTACTTTTCTTCAAAGGACAATGGGAGATATTGTATCAGCTGTAATAATAATGAAACCCTCCTACAATTATCCATAAAAACATTTAAGTTTCCCATAATAAAAGTTATCTTCAATAGTTGCAATTCAAATTCAAACACATAGTTTTAATTAAGTGATATGTTAAAAGAAGAAAAAATGTATTAGTCAAATACAAGGGAGTTTGTTTTGCCTAATGGTAAGGACAAACTGTAATAAATATATCCCAAAGATTTCATTTAAATAGGTTATATTTGTAAGTCCAATATTAAGTGTTGCATCAAAAAAAAGACAGAAACACTCACCAAGACAATAGCTAGGAATAAGAGTTGGAAGCCAGGCCACATTAGAGAAGGCTGAGGTATGAAGTGAGTTAATTCGAGCCAATTCAGATACTCCTCCAGTGTATGACAAAGGTCCTATGGGGTCTACACGCCATAAAATCAGCTCACTATATATTGCATTTGGATCATGGAACGTACGTGTTGCTGCATTTCTAAGTTGCTGCCTAGAAGAACCTTTCAAATGCTTAACAGGATCCATTATTTTGCTTAATTTATCCGAGTCCCACGAATGGTTTAATTCAGGAGTTAAAAGCGCATTGTGATGAGAAGATGTTAGCAGCAGTGGTAAAACAGAATGGCAAGCCAGGTCATTGAGATGAAATCGGTGACCACAGTATCTAAATTTATGAGATACAGTAAGCACGGTGGTAAAAGCAGATTTGTCGGCAAAAGTAACTGCCCACTGGTTTAGGGATCCATCTATATGTTTGGAAACCATCATCACTATCGGAGAAATTATATTCACATTTGTGGGATCCTGAGCAGAACTTGGTTCATTAACTTCTAGAGTCTTATTTGGAATGCTTATTGTTTTCTGATGCGCAGTATTATTGATATCTTTTGCAGTGGTAGGACAAGCATACATCATGATGTTTTTACTGAGGGAACTAGCATCTCCCGATGGAAATGCAACAGGAATCCGAGAAGAAAATGAAACCTAAAATAGGGTATAAAACAGTGAAAAGATTAATTAAAATCTAGCTTATATGAAACACAAACCTCTCATAAGTCATAATATATTTTTGCTAAGAGAAAGTATTACTAAATTCAGATAAATATATGTTTTAATAGCAAATATTCAATGACTATCTGTTCAGATGAGACAAAAAAATATGAAGCTTTCCACAACACTGTACCTGAACTTGTCGGAAAATGCCTGGATTGTATTCATCCAAATATTTTACATGCCACACTAAAAAGGTACCATCAATAGGGTGGATAATAAAAAGCATATCTGGATTCCTGTTCCACTCAGTAAGAAGCATTTCAATTTTCCGATCTAACAAAACTGTTGGAAGTGGCATACGTGGGCCGGCTAAAGAAGAGGTTTTGGGGCTCCCCTCTCTTTCTCCTTCTTCATGTTCTGAAGAGCCTGTACCAGTACCCGTCTCCGATTCTCTATCTATAGACATTTCTAAAACAGACAAGAAATACATAAACCATGTTATACTGCAGCAAACATGACTTCTGTCACAGTTTGTATTCAAAATAACGGAAGATGACAAGGCCTTATATACATTAAAAGTAGGAAAGGCTGTTGTTTGTAGCCATGGTGGTCTAAGGACATAGGCAGACACGGGTCTTTGGGTAGATGTGGTATCTTTTTTTAGACCACCTAAATAGTTGGAAAAATTGTTCTTTGCAAGCTTTTGGGCACAAACTAGGGTGGCCTTCATAGAGGACAGTCTGGTTGTCCTCTGTCCTCTATTCATACAAAACCCAGGTTTCGTGTCAAAAGAGGACAGAGTAGCAGAAAACCGGAATGTCCTCTATGACGGCCACCCTAGCACAAACACCCTTCTTCAGGCATATGGAGAGCCTGTTGGTGTTTGTGTGCTCTCCTGCGTAGAATGGAAGCCAATATGCAAAATGTGGGTCTACGATCCAAGAATGACAATGGTTCTGTTGCACGGCATAGTTATTGTGGGAATGTTGGAGATGTGTTGGCAGGTTTTACATTGACTGTACTTTTGAAAGAGCCGCCTGGATACCACGTGAAGAACTGCTGTGGTACAAAAAGAAAATCCCCACGAATTGCACACGATTGGTTATGACAATACCAACCATCCTTCCCTGGAACCTATAAGGAAAATCCTCAAACAATTGCAGCCCAAACTAGAGGAGGACCCAATTCCCAAAGAGATCTTCCTGGAACCACCATTCTTGCCTTTAAACAAGCACCACACCTAGCCAACCTCATAACCAGAAGCATGTTTCCTATGGCCCATAGCACACTGAATGGATCCATACCATGCCGGGACAAAAAATGTAAAACCTGACAACATATCTCTAATACAGCAACAACACTCAACAACAGATCCATCATCATTCCTGGATCTTACATCTGCACCTCCAGAAATGTAATATATCACATCCAGTGCACTAAATGCCCTGATGGAAAATATGTAGGAGAAATGAAACAACTGCATACCAGAATGAATGCACACTGAAAATCTATCAAAGACAAAAATACCCAACTACCTGTGGGTGCACACTTCTCTCAAGACAACCACTCTCTCTCCAATCTCTCAGTTCTAATCCTCAAAGGATATTTACAAAACACCTTTCATAGATGAGCCTATGAACTTCACTTTATAAATCTACTGAATACAAAAAACCATGGACTAAATATAGACATTTATGGCACATTATAGCATGCTTGCCATTTGATAACCCCAGGTAACCTGTCTGCATTTTACCAGCTATATTCTATCACCAGTTCTACATTCCTCCTGCCCCCTGCCTCTCACCTATTGTCTCCCATTCCCTCAGATCCTCTCTGCCAGGCATTTGCATTTTCACAGACCTGCATTCTGCGTATTCATTTCCATTCTACCCGGGAGAGCACACAAACACAAACTAAATCTCTCTATGCCTGAAGAAGGGTGTTTGTGCTTGAAAGCTTGGAAAGAACGTTTTTTCCAAATATTTAGTTGGTCTGATAAAAGATCTACCCAAAGAACTATGTCTGCCTTAAAAGCAGGAACCATCCTTTGTTCTGTGCCTGTTATAGTGCCTACCACACACAGTAAGGTGCTGGTTCTTGACTGGGACTACCAGGCACTAAAGCAACATGTAATATTATTTGTAATCTACAAAATCTATGCATTTAAGGAAGTAAATAAATCCTCTCTGATAAGATAGAGAGATTACTCCGATCAACTATACTAACATTTCTTTTTTATTCCAACACTACAAGCTTGATCCTTGTCCTAAAATTATTATAGTGGTTTAAAGCAAAGTGACCATGATAAAATGTGCAGTATTTTATAAGTTATAAGAAAAACTACTGTGTGTACAGTGTAGGAATTGCATTGTCCTTAAGTATTACACTGATGCCCTTGCTCAGAAAAATCTGCTTGTTGTCAGCAGTTTGTTGCCACTAAACAAACTTACCTGGCTCTGAAACAAATGTTTCTTATTTTAGAATTTGTCATTTTTCCCCATCAGTTTCATCTATAGCATAAAAAAAAAATCTTAAAAAGTAGATAGACATAAATAGCATACTCCAGCCTACCAAACCTTTGAACTGAGCTGCATTAATTTGGCCTGCTGTTGCTAAAGGGTGGCTGACCCCCTGTACTACATCATGGTGCTTCCTAACCTTTCGGAATATCTGTAAAGGCCAGCATATCTTAATACTGCAGTACATTCTGACTCTCACTTCTTAAGTGTAAGTGAAGAAGAACTACTACAGTAATGAATTTATTGTTGTTGAGCAGCACTGAAAAGTCTGTTGGTTCAATGTTGCCTAAAACATAATGCCTGGCCTGAAACCATGCCTGGCTTAACACATTCTCCAAAAATCACACAGAATCTCAACTGTACTTGGGTGTTGGTTGTAGCCGTGTTGGTCTAGAAATATTGGTAGACAAGGTTCTTTGGGTAGATCTGATATCTTTTATTAGACCAACTATACTTGGGCACTTTACCATGTATGACCCCCGGCCCTTCCCTGCATATTGTTTCAGGCTGTCTTCACACTGAGGCAATTTATCAGTAACACTGGCTTCAGATTTCAGAGATTAGTAAGAGGTAGTTAGTTTGCAGTCAGATGGAAGGCTGGGCAGGATGGCACCTTAAAAGACTAACTTGTTCAGAAATTTCAAGGATTGTTTTCAGCCACAGTGAGTAGTTAGATTTTTGGAACAACTCAACACCATGGACATTTCAGCAAATAACTGGCTGACATTTGTGGCTTTTATTGTGTGAAAGTTGGTGAATGGCAATGCAGAAGTTTACTGGCATGCTCCCATTAGGTCATGGGTTGATGGACACAGAAAAGAAAAAAGCAGAAGAGAAGGAGGAAGAGGGTGAAGCCTTAATATTTTTAATGAAAGATGAAAAACTAGATGGGTCCATCACAACAGGCAGAGGTTGTAGCCACAATCTGAAGGAAACCAGTTCAGATACTGATGGCCACCTCAGCCTCTTTCACTTGATATTTGAACTATGGCTCCCTTAAATCTAGCAGAGGTACTGACCCAAAATGGTTAACCTTTTCTTACTGTCTGAAAATGCCACTTTCCATTGTTAAAGGAAAAATAGACAACTTTTGTTAATAATGTTAGGTAGATGATTTAATTTAGATAGGCAGATTCTTCCAAAAAGCACAGTTTAAATTTATATAATTTCCCCAAGGAGACTCCAAAAAGAATGCAAAAGACAGAATAAGCAACTACAAACATGTAAACAGACATGCAACAGTCTTCGGTCTTCCCTAACGTAAAATATAGGTTTTCATTTTATAGACCAACCTTTCCCTCAGACTATGTACTATGTATACCACCATTCTCTTGTATATCACATCTTCTACAGAGGGAGCATTAGATACATTCAGTGTATTAGCCTGTTGTGCATACTAGTGGTTGCAGCCTCCAGCATATAAAATCTCAAGTATAAATGTATATATTATATGTAAATGACATTACACATTAGGGGTGCACTGATAAAGATTTTTTGGCTGATACTGATGGCTGATTATTAACCAGCCACATTGGCTGATACCAATCTGATAGCCTATACAAATCCAAATCGGATAGCCGATATGCACCCCAGCAGCTCGGAAAGCAGCATCCTGCCAGTAAGTCTGTGGGGGCATGGAGGGAAGGGAAGTGGCCCCCAGATCAAGGCCCCCACAGTGAGGGAGGGGGTGGGGCTGGGGCAGGTGCTGCACAGCTGGGGTGGGGCAGAGTGCAGGATGGAGCCACAGGTGGTTCGTTCAGGGGGTGTGGGGGAGCAGGGAGGGGGGTAGAGACTGTCGCTGTGCGCACCCCTGGAGGAGTCACAGGGGGTCACATACCCCCCAGATTTTTATGTGGGGAGAAGGCGGGTTGCCCACTGTGAGCTTGGGGGCCAGAGACTGTGTTGGCCTCTTCCTGGCAGGGAGCTGGGCTGTGGTTGTACTTGGCTCAGGCTGGGGCAGTGGTGGGGTGGGTGGTGGTGCTAGGAGGCGGCTCCTTCCTCCCAGTGTCACTGCCACCTCCCCTGCCCCGCCCTGAGCGCAGGCCCCCCCACTGGAAAAAGGTCGGCAGAGCCCATGGCCTTAAGCTCACAGCAGGCAGCCTGCCCTTACACTGCACACAAATCCTGGGGGTCACCTGCCCTCAATACCTCCCTCAGGGGTATTCGCAGCAGCAGGAGTTGCCACCCCTCCCTCCAACACCCCCAGCCGACCAGCCCATGGCTCTGTCCTATGACCTGCTCCAACCTGGCTACATAGTGTCTTCCCCAACCCCAGCCCCACTCCCTCCTTCACCATGGGGGACCCAATCGCCCCCCTCATGCTTCTTTCATCCCCCCCCTCATCCCTGTTCCCCTCCCCAGACTTACTGGCTGGATGCTACTCTCCAACCTGGTGGGCTGTATTCCTGGCTGCGTGCATGCTGTGGCTGTGCACATTCACGCGGCATTTATCGGCGACATTATCAGCCAAATTGGCCAAAAATAGCCAACTGCCGATAATGTCAATTTTCCTTTTATCAGTGCACCTCTATTCCACATATGTTATTTGCATAAGTCAAAGGAAGACATGGAAAGAAAAACCTGATTACCAACCGTGATCTAGTTTCATATGTAAACCTCTCTCTTTTTCTTCCATTTCCTCTTCCTCTTCATCATCAACATCTTCTTCTAGTTGTTGTTCAGAAAGTTTTCTTAGATGTTGCATAAATACTTCAATCGAGGATGTGAAGTGGAATTCTTTATTATTCAGCCAATGAACCACAAAGCCTCCATTTCCTTCATCTAAATTAAAAGCTGTTCCAGCCAAGACTGATGGAATATCTGTAGAAATAAAATCTAACATTTAATTTAAATCCAGCTAACACATAAAACAACACACCAAACCCAAATTTAAATTAGCCACATAACACATGACCTTAATTATTTATCCTTGTGACCAAGAACAGACCACATACATATGTGCACATGCAAAATATTATTATACACATATAAAATGTGACAATTTATGAGATACTAATGGAAATGGGTTCTTTTATGAAGCTGGAAACTTAACTTCATTTCACAAACAATAATCCTTAGTCAATAAGGATTACATTTTTAAAGGACAATAACGTAGTAATCAGTTATATAATTAAAGACACGCATAGTAAATCTTAGGCTGCCCACATAAAAAAATTCTTATCATGTCTCTCACAGTAGCAGGTATTAATCACAACATAACTCTTAATTATTTTATTTTTCAGAGCATTTCTGTTCAAGTTCATATATAAATATTTATTTTAAGGGACACTGTCAAACAGAAATATTCAGTTTGTATACTTATCAACTGACTTCTACAATAAAGTATATGCAGTTGCTGTTGAAGCTTTCAGATTAATGATATAGATGCAGTTCAATTTAAAAAAGCTTATTTTACCATCAGTAAATAAACGTATACACACATATATGCATATACACACACATATATATATGCACATATACAAATACATATACATATATTAACTTACACTTGAAATTCAGTATTCTTCTTTAATTTATAATATATAATTTTACCCCAAAATAATTTTGTTCTGGCTTCTATTTTGTTAGTGTGGAACAGAAAGTTTTTTGGGTCAGAATTAAGGATGTCTTAAATAACGAAGCATACATTTTTTAACTCTTGACAAGAATACCACGGACATTTGATAAACTATTTATGTCACTACTTTAGGCACTTGAGTTTTGTAAATCTGATACACAGTGATATAACCCTACAATTCTCTTCCTTAACAAATCTTAGATTCATAGATGTTAGGGTCGGAAGGGACCTCAATAGATCATTGAGTCCGACCCCCTGCATAGGCAGGAAA